ACATCTCTGGAGTCTCCATAATTTTTGAAAGTGCTGTGCTGAGATCAAAACTTTGAAAATTATTGGATTGGATGAATAAAAGATGAAACATGAACTATGATTTGCTTCTTTTTGTACCGGGGATCGAACTCCGGTCCTTGCGCTTGTGCAGCAGGTGGTGAAAGCACTGAGCTAAATCCCCGGCCCTGCTGTTGTTTTTAATTCAGATGTAATATGAATAAAATGTTTAGATGAACCAAGTTTTATTTGAAGCATTTTAATAAATAATAAATAAAATACAAAGTGTTCATTGAGCATTTATTTTGTGCCACGCTTAGCTACCAACTTCATTTACGTTGCTGGTGGGTGGGCCTGATGACATCAGTGAGAATCTGTTACTCTATGCACAACCGAGAAGAGACCTATGGCTTATGGAGCATAAGTAACTGAACAGCCTCACAGCTGGCCTCGGATACAGCCAGCTTTGACTGCAGTAAGCCAGCCTGACCTGAGGGACTTTTCTGTGGACCCATGAGTTACCTGGTCAGCTCCCTATGGTGGCTCTTTCCAGCACTGTGCTAAGAGCCTGCTATACTTCATCTCATTTATTCTAATTAAAGAATGAGACACTTATTTCTCATCACCTTTACACTTCAGCAGATAAGGCTGTGAGAAGAACAGCACAGCTGTAAGGGATGGAGTACTGATTATCACCTGAGTGAGATCCTTCCTGGGTTCCACTTCTTATGCGGACTTTCTCCATCCATGCTACCTTAGTCTCCCCTTTGAAAAGCACATTCTTACGTATCCACAACTCTGTGGATACATTTCCTTAAAAAATAATAGCAGTTACATCCACACATTTTCTCTAAATGTTATTATATTGTAGATATATTCATAATGCCTTTTTGTTTGTTTTGTTTTTGTTTTTCTGAGATAGGATCTTGATCATCTTATAGTTCAGGCTGGCTTCAAACTCAGGGCAATACTCCTGCCTCAGCCTCCTGAGTGCTGGGATTACCGGTGTGCACCACCACAGCAGGTTTCTTAATTCTGTTTTAAACCCCATAGTTTTTATAATCTGTGTATGAGGCAATAGTGTATTGCTTTTGATTGCTGTATAATAGCATATATGTCCACTAATTATTCTTTATTTTAAAGATTTCTCCAAAGCACTGCTATCACTAAGAAGTAATAAAGAGCCCAAATCAGAACTTCATATAGAACAATGCTTGTTTTTCATTTGTTTGGTTGGTCATTTTTTTTCTGTCTTTCATACTGTGAATTGAACCCAGAGCCTTCACAATGACCTACATCCCCAGCCCTTTGTAAAAAAAAAAAAAAAAAAAGCCACTAAGTTGCCAGGCTGAGCTGAATTTGCGATCCTCCTGCATCAGCCTCCCAGAATGCTGGGATTATTGGCATGTACTAGCACGGCCAGCTCGGACCAAAGTATTTTAAAGCCTATTCTCAGGAAGGATTTTCTCAAAAGATAAAATGTTACCAATTTTATTAAAAGCTTCTAGAGAGATTTTCAGAATACGTATAAAATGTGAAATCTCTCCAAAAGAACATAAAGACTAACATTTCTCCACTTCTAATGACACAGTATTGTACAACTTTATATAATTTTTGTCAATATATTAGTTGTTTTTTCTCAATATTGTTTTAGCTTGGATTTTGCTTATTATTACAGAGATTGAGTATATTTTCATCTACTTGTTGTTTGTACTTCTCAATTGCACAGTCAATATTTAAATGGTATCCATTCTCTGTGGCGTTTTCTGTATTTTCCTTGTTGATTTTTATTTTCATATTGTAATATTAATGTTTTTTATATTAAATATCTTCTCATAATTTATTCTTCAGTAGTTACCGTGGTCTAAAATTTCTTCCTTCAAGAATAATCCTAAATTTAATGTACAGAAACTTACCAATTTTCCCTTTTTGTTCATAATTTTTGAATCTGGATTATAAATGTTCATCCAAAAGCCATGAAAATATTTTCCTGTATTTTCTTCTTCTAAGGCTTGTATTTTGTCATTCATATTTAAGTTTTAATTAACCTAGATTTTACTTTTATATATGATGAATTTTCTGAGTTTTATTTTCCTCTGTAGAGTGAGTCAGTTTTCCCAGAAGTTTCTTCTAAGCAACCCACGTTTTATATACCGACTCTGGTGTCATTTTTATACCAGTTTCCATACATACCTGGCTCTCTCTTCTGTCACATGGGTTCTGCTTGTTCTTGTACCAACATCACATTACTTTTACCAATTTTGATCTGTTGTATTTCTTGCTAATGTACAGACTGTGTCTGCTGCCTTCTCATTTTCAAACCCTGGAGCCATTTTTTTTTATTTCTTTTTCCAAATTGAGTTACATAATTGGCATTTTTTTCCATATCAACTTTAAAATCACTTTTCCAACTGCTTAAAAATACCTTCTTAAACTTGGTCCAAAATTGCCTTAGATATATAGATTAATTTGGGAAGAACTGGTATTATAAACAATGGCAGATTTTCACCTCCATGGACATAGATTCTGCAAGTTCTCGTATGATTTTTAATAGGTTAATTTCTAGGTATTTTATAGTTTCGCTGAAGGGACTATTCTTTCCCTTTAAATTTTCTACCCATTTTGATGTTAGTGTGAAAAGGAGATGCTGACTTTTATAAGTTGGCCTTGTTTGACGACCTTATTTACTTTTTTGTAACAGCCAATAAATATGTTGATTTCACTGCAGTTTCTATATAGATGTTATCTTTTTAAAAAAGAAAAGTACTCCTATCTCTGGATTCTGAATTCTCTTAGTTATTTTTCCTATCTTAGTATTTTAGTTAAGACCATCAGTTTGTGCAGCAGGAATGCAGGACTATGAATACATATATATGTATTTATAAGAAATTTAAAAGTGTTGTTTATTTTAACTTTTGAATAAATATATGAATGCAAATAGGAAAATATCCTTCTAGTCATTTTTTGAGAATTTTGTCATAACTACATTTGAACTTTGATATTTTTTCTATATTTATTGAGATGACGATGTGATTTTTCTGAGTGACCCATTTTTCCATTTGGAGGTGAATTAAATTGATAGATTTCATGAATTAAACTATATTCAAATTATGAGAACAATCTTTTGTCTTTTAAAAAATTAATGAATTTTATTTTTGTTTTGTTTTGTTTTTTTGGAAACAGGGATCGAACTCGGGTCCTTGCGCTTGTGCAGCAGGTGGCAAAACCACTGAGCTAAATCCCCAGCCCATGAATTTTATTTTTAAACCTGTTTTAGGTTCACAGCACAATTAAACAGAAGGTAGTAAGAGGTCTCGTATACTCCCCTTGTGCAATTACACATGCATTTTCTGTCGATTCTGTCCTCTAGAAAACCCTATCTGATACATCAGTACAATTGCAACTCTCTGCCTTACATTCATTTGTTCAATAGATAAGCAACATATACAGTGCCGCCAACTTTTGGCACCCAATGGTCCATTGGCTGCCGTCCATGAACCTACACTGGTTCATCAATGTCATCACCATCCACAGCTCACCTTGAGCTTCTCCCTTGGCCATGCTCCTTTTAGGGTTTGGGCATTTGTTTCAGGAGGTCTCCACCACTGTAATGTTATACAGAAGGTTTCGCGGAGAGGATGTTTCAAGTGGGAAACCTGTAAAGTTACAACCTGGCCCTGTCCTCTGTCCACTTCTCTTATCCCCGAAGGACTTTTCTTTGCATTTACTTAGGAGAGACCAGATTTTCTCCACGGAAGCACCTACTGTGAGGCGCAAGGCAGGCAAAGCTGACCTTACTGCTCTCCGCAGAGCCACCCGTCAGTGGTAGAATTCCAACTTCCTCCTGTCAGTACTTACCCACTTCCATACCTTTGTGTTGTTTTCTTTTTCCTCCTTTCTTATATGACTCATCATGAATTTTTCACAATTCCTAATGTTGTAGAGCAGTCAGCTCCTGGTCCTGTTTTTGTTTCACCTCCAGAGTAGGTTTTGGCCTCAGAAGCCACTATCTTATATTCGTTCTCTTCTTGTCAGCTGCAGCAGAGATTTAAAGCTTGACTTGTTTCACTCCCAAACGCATACTCTGATGTAATAAATAGAGGACTCAGGGCACTAGGACAACTAGAAATCCAGATGCTAACTTGAAATAAGAATCAAGTAAGTAATTGACATTTCCTCCAGAAATTCAAGGGCATATATTTTTTCTCTAACCTAGATATAATAAAAATTCAATGAGGAAAATTTTGAAGTTATTGTATGCTACTGACAACCACTCTAAATTATTGTGTACTTTTCCAGTTTACTATATAAATATTTTGTATAAATTTTGTTATATAAGTTTTCCAAGCATAAGGAAAAGCAATTTACATTTTTTTCTCTTATTAAAAAAAGAGAATAAAGGAAAAAGAAAAATCTGAGGACAGTTCAAAGGGAATCTGACTTCAACCTCCAATCCAGAGTCATATCCCACTGGGATCTTGGCAAGCTGGACAACCAGCTCCTTGGAAAACTCCTGCTTCATGCTAGGGATTGAAAAAGTCATTCAAGAGCCATATCCCGTGTCATTTCAAAATAAATATTAAAGAGCCCAAATATTAGTTCCCAAATATTAGGGTCTGAAGCTGGGGAGACCGGTGGGAGATGAAGAAAAGATGAAGAAACTAAGAAAGAAGGATACATACCAAGATTATGCTTGCAAGTTGGCACCAGGTGGAACCATAGCTTGTCGGGAGCTAATGGCCGCCTGGAACCCCACGCACTCTTTGTTTATAGTGGAAGGCAAACAGGAAAAGAAGGCGGGGCAAATAGTGCTACGTGGCCTAAGTGGCCTAGGCGGAATGTAGCGTGATTGTTTCGTGATGGAGCATGGCAGGAAGGGAACAGGGAAGGTTACAATGTAACTGTCTCCCGCGGCTGTGCCTTGCAGGGTCTACAATTTGTACAGACCTAGAGTGTTTGACTCTCTAGTCTATGGAGGAGAAAGAGAGCAGGGAGGAGAAAAGGCCATCTTCAGGCTCCGCCTGCGGCAGTTCTAGAGTTCGTAGATGGTGGAGATTTCAGCTTTATATTCTATTACATTGTGTTTTGGAGGTGGCCTTCTCTGTGAGGACTGAGCTTCTCAGTTGTCCCTGTTAGTTGCCACGCTCAAACTGACTGGAGTGAGGAATGTCCAGCAGGTTAGTACAGCACATTTCTTGGTGGGTCTGCAGGTGATTGACATGTAGGCCAACAGAGCAGAGTGGGGTAGGCCTACCCGGATATGAGTGGCACCAACCAATTGGTTTGTAGCCTGGATGGAATAAAAAAAGGGAAAGAAAAAGAAAATATAGTGCCCTTTCCGAGAGCTCCAGTCTTCTTGAGTGGGTATGTCCCTTGCTGCTGTTGCTTTTGGACATTGATCTCTGGGTCTCTGATTCCTCCTCCCTTCCAGTGTAATGGCACACCAGCAACTCCCCAGTGAGCGTCCAGGCCCTGGTCCCTCCTGCTCTGTGGCTTCCATCTTCTTGGGCTGTGCAGCTGCTGGATCTCCTGGCTCTCTTTGGTGCAGACAGCCATTGTGAACTCTCCTGGGTCCAATCCTGTAAGTCCGCTTAGTAAATCTCTTTGCAGAATTACACATGTATTTTCTTTTGCTTCTGTTCTCTAGAGAACCCTAACTGATACATTAATACAATCACAATGCTCTGAATTACATTTAGTTGTTCAATGGATAAGCAACCTTTAAAAAATAAAATAATGGCCGGAAATTTAGCTCAGTGGTTCCCTCACCTGCCTCACAAGCACAAGGTCCTGAGTTCGATCCCTGATACCAAAAATAAATAAATAAATAATGAAAAAATAAAAAATAAATTAAATAATGGCTTCAGGATCTTTTTTGAATACTTTAAAAGAAATCTGATGATTGTAAAATGCATGTACCACAAACATATACTAATAAATAAAAATGAATCTGATTAAATATGTTATTAAAATTCAGAAGCTTGCCTGCCATGACTTAAATGGGAGTCACTATCTTAGTAAAAACTGAGAGGAAAACTCTGACCTTTATGGCATGTTAGAAGGTGTTCTGAACAATCTAAGACTGCTGAACATCTGAAAGTCTGCTGTGGATGATTATACATTACACATACTTTTATACATTTTAAAGTTATATGACCCCTCCTTAATCTCCCTTGGCTATGATATAAGAAGAAAATGAGGGAGGAGAATAAAAGGAATAAGGCCTATTGATCAATGATTTTATGTGACTTTTTGCAACTAAAATGACATGTAATAAACTGACTTGACTGATGTAAAGTTTGATGAGTTTTACTCTTATTTTTCCACAGGAAAATGAGTTTCCAGGGAACCCAAGGTATAGAAAACCAACCCCCACTTCTTTTTCCACAGGCCTCAACTAATAGACTCTTGTTTGATTAATGAATCTCTCCAAGTGGGTCCCATTTTCCACTTTTTAATAAAACTGCTTTATTGAGATATAATTCACATCTCATACAATTCATGCATTCGAAGTGTACAATTAGTTTGTAGCATATTCACAGGGTTGTGCAAACCATTATCACGGTCAATTCTAGGACATTTTCATCACTCCAACTGAAACTCTGTATCCATTAGCAGCTCATCTTCGTTCACCCTCAACTTCCCCACCTCTAGCCCAAGCAATCACTGATTTATTTTCCACTTTATAGATTCATTTATTCTAGATACTTCATATATAAGGAATTGTACAATGTAGTCTTTAGTCTGGCTACTTTCATTTAGCTTAGTGTTTTCAGATTGTATCCATGTTGTAGCATATATCAAATCTACATTTCTTTTTTTCTTGCCAAATTGTATTTCAATGTATGAAAATACAGTGGACCCTTGACTTACGAACTCAATTTGTTTTCCTGGGCTGGTTGTAACTCAAATTGGTCAATTGAAGGCTCAGGCTCCTCTCTACAGCCTTCAAAGTCTCTCTCCTGTATTTAGCCAGATCTCAGTGTTATTCGAAAGACATTGGCCCAGGATTTCTCAATTAACCCCACACAGGAAAGGATGCTGTAATGTTTCTTCCAAAACTCTGCAATGGTTAAATCTGTGTCAGACCATCTGGAAGCACAAGCAGCCAACATTTGGGTCGTAACTCAAGACTTTGGTTGGAAGTTAAAACTAAAATTCCAGTTGTAGCCCAAGTTGTTCATACGCCAGGCCAATCATAAATCAAGGGTCCATTGTACTGTATTTTATTTATCCATTTGTCAATCGTTTCCAGTTTTTGGTGATTATGAATAGTACTACTGCACACAACAAGGTGCAAGAATTTATGTTTCTCTTCAGTAAATTACCTTGAGAGTAGAATTACTAGTTCACGTGATAACTCTGTTTAAGCTTTTAAGGAATTGCCAGAAACCCCATTTTTTCATTTGGTTGCTTCTTCATCCTTGAACAGATACTTCAGAATTGGACCCAGTCCCCTTCTCCCTTAGATCCCCTGTGATGCCCTTTCACAGGACACAACGCTTCACCACAGTTGTTACATTTGTACTCTGCACTTACCTGGATGTCACTCCACAAGCGCAGGAACAATCCCTATTTAGTTCACCACTGGCTATCCGGCTTCTAGCTCAGGGCCTGACACGTAGCAGGTGAATTCTGGATGAAGGCAGGAAGGAAGGAGAGAGGAAGAAAGGGAGTCTCAATTTTATAGAAGCCTAAAGAGCCGATATAGTAAAATATTTGTATATGAATCACTTGTCTGAATTTACTTGTAGCAGAAAATTTCCTATTAATGAAATTTTCTAATTAAATTTCAATAATTTTGAGGTGCATTACCCAAGAATTGTGGAATATAATGCCCTAGAAAAAGAAGGTGCATAAGAAGGCTAAAACAGAAATGAAAGCTGTGGCTCACCCAGGATGGACTGACCCTATCCCAATTGGAGCCCACTGACCCCAACACACCTGTGCCTGCTTCTAGGATGCAAGAGAGTACAAGCTATCTCAAGACATCACCAAGATAATCAGACACTATTACCTTACATATTGTAATTGTACGTGGTGAATATATACTGAATATCATTTGGTCTGAAATCATTTGCTTCTACAACTATTTCTGTCACTTAAAAATCAGCAGCTCATTTGATACTGCGTCTGTGGGTTACTGCAATATTCCTGGAGGGTAATTTGACTAAGCATATACTTTTTTTAAATGTATATATCTCTTGACCTGACAAACTACTCCTCAGACTTGACTTTTGGGTGATAAACTAAAATGTTTATGGATATGCGTACAAAATTTAAAAGTTTTTTTAAATATCACATCATTCTTACTGAGAAAATTGCAACTACACCATTCCATTATTAACATGATGTTTTAGAAACTGCATAGTTTTTGTTAGTAAAAGAAATCATGTAAAAATAAGCATGCATTTTAAAATGTAACTGCATGTTGTTGAGTCGACAAAGTGACCCTTAGAGCATATCTCCTTCCTAATTATGTCAGCAAGGGTTTGGAAACTTCAAGGAATGCTTCTCTGACTGCTTAGAAAACTCATCTGATTCACTGATTCTGGTGTTTGTGTTTCCTGGAAAAAATGTATTGTTTCTAAATATTGAAATATAAGTATCAAGACAACTATTATCATTAAGAATGGAATAAAGAATTTGTGTACTTCGATAATTTTTTAAGTCTCTGCATCTTGAAGGGAAATAATGCAACTATGTTTTATTAAGTACTCAGCTGAGATTTTTTCTGGCTGCATTGATAACCATGAGTTATGACAGGGGAATAGGAATTGAAGAATTTATTGTGACTCCAATTACACCCACCCCTTAATTTTGCGATTTAGCAGGGTATGCAGTGTGAGGATGTGGTTCATGGTGCTAACAAAGGATTCATAGCTCTCTCCACCTCTAGGCCCCATGGTCAGTTTGTAGGAAGGAGAGAGAACATATCATCAAATTCTCAATCTTAAAAGCCAAAACGTGGTTTGAAATAATTCAAACCTTAAGATTGTTCAAATGAATAGAAAAATAGAATATTTGCAGTTAGGACTAGTCTGAACTCACAGATGTACCTGGAATCCATGGAAACAATCTGAATGCCTCTGAAGTAGATTTGGTTGGAAAATGGAAACATACTTTTTGACAATAGCAAATAGCATTTGGGGACTCACTGATTTGAGATTAAGACACCATTAAAATGGACCCTTTACCCCTAAGCTATCAGAACAGTGCAGCCAACAAATTTGTCTGTGAGGGGGAAGCAGAGGAAATGTATTGGGTCATTTGAAATAAAATCCCCTGCAGCTGACCCATGAGAGGGACTGATGGTTTCCAGATGGAGCTGTGTCCAGTTCCCATTGGCCAGATGTTTGGGCCTGTCCAGCAGGATTGTTTTGTATGTAGAGTGGGGAACCATGGAAATAGCATCAGGATTGACCAAAGCCTTACCCCTGAAATAAGAAAATTCCACTCAGAGGTGTGGTCTATAGCTTGAAGCGTATTCAACACACATTGGCTTCAGGCATCAGCTCTATCTCATCAGACCTCTCCACCTTTGGGCAAATTATTTAAACTCTCTGAGTGTCAATTACCTCATCTATAAGATGGGGATGGTAAGAGCACAGCTTCCCAACACTACAGTACTATGAGGAATCCAAGAGGGGATTCATGTAACATGTGGACTCAGACAGCCTTAATAAATGACAGCCATTTATATTTACTACACTCATCATCATCACTTTTCTACAGAGATTGAATGAACAACTGTGATATATCTGGAACTGTGTTGGGTGCTGAAAATACACAATTGGGTAGAACATGGTTTGGGCCTTTAGGAATTTCAATTATGAAAGACAGATGAATAGACAACTAGTTGCCTAAATGGAGGAGTGCTGAAAAGGATATACAAGCAGTACTTGAAGGGGAGAGAGATACCCATCACACTTGCCCCTAGCTGGCATCAGGCTTGATAATGCCACTTTAGTACATTGAAGATATACCTATAAGATACTACTTCCTTTATTTAACAATTATAATGGTTAAGTTTAATTGACAAACTGATTGGGTGAGAACAGCTGAGGAGATTAGTAAAATACATGTCCGAGTGGGTCATGGAAATGGGATGTAGGGGTCTAGTTCTGGCCCCTGGCACCTTCTTCTCTGGAACTGTTCCTCTGCTTTGCTCCCTAGTCGCCATGAGGTAAGCATCTTTGCTTTACTCTGCCTTTGTGCCATGATGTCTCTGCCTTGAAGCTAGTTGACCATGGGCTGAACTCTCTGAAACCATGAGCCAAATAATCCTCTTCTCCTTTCACTTGCAGGTGTCAGGTATTTTGTACCAGCAATACGAAAACTGACTAATATAAAAAGTGAGAAAAATAAAGCTAAATGATTTTCCCAAGTTCAAATAGATAATATATAGTGTAGTTTGTTTGATTTATCTGCTTTTTCTTTACTCAACCTGGCTATCTCCAAACCTTGAAGAATGGTTGGAATGAGTAGAGGGACAACAAAGTGTGCCTTAGTCCATTTTCTGTTCCTGTTACTGAATACTTCAGACTGGGTAATGCTTATAACACAGAGAATTTCATTTAACTCATAGATCTGGAGGCTATGAAATCCAAAATTAGGAGGCAGCATTGCCTAAGGGGACCCTTGGGTCACCATGATGTGCTAGGACGCAGCCCAGGTTAAGAGAGCAAGTAGGCCAACTCCAACTCTTCTTCTAAAGTCATGAGATCCTTCATGAGAACTTCACCTCCTGACCTCATCTAGTCCCAATTACCTCCCAAAGACCTCGCCTTCAAATACCATCAACATGTGAATTAGGTAATTAAGTGTTCAGCACATCAATTTGGGAGGGACATAACTAAATCATAGCAAGGGAAAATAATGAGGGAAACTTTTAAATTCTAGATGAATAAACAAGAACCCTGTAGATAAAGGGCAAGAAAACATCAAAGAGTAGGCATGATATGCTCAAAGGTATGAAACCCTAAAAACTACAGTGCCATCAAGGTTAGAAGGTAGGGGTCTGAGTATACAGGAGGAAGTCTCCAAGCAGCCAGGAGAATAAGTAATGGGACTCAGAATGACAGTGGGGACTAGATCACAGAAGGACACTGTAGGTAATCAGAAAGTTTTGAGTTGGTTCGCTATGATACATACCTTTCACCTTGTCCCTTTCTTAGCTTAGTATGAGCCGTGGGGTGGTTGTTTGGTGAATCCCACTCCACAGCAGAATAGAGGGATGAGCTAAAGCTCATGAGAATTAGGCAAAGTTTGAAGATCTCTACCACCATCAACTGTCCAGAAGCAAAGAAAAACACTCCAGTCTGTGGATTTGAATTCACTTCTATGAATGCCACAATTCCTGTCATTAAACGCATACCTTGTCACATGCATGG